TAAGAGCTTTTGTTGCACTATTCAACCAATGGGAAGGTAAGGCTTTGAGGTGGTTTAACGGCACCATCCAGACACCATCACCATCATCCGGACGCCCCTATTCCTCTACTTTTTGGTGTGTGATGTCTTGGTTGCTTTGATGCTTGAATTACACTGAACCCCCCTTGCTTTGAAGCTTTGACAGTTACTTCCTCCTAGTTTTGCACTGTTTNTGGAGATAAAGGATTAGACTAATTTACAGACCCTACTAATGACTTAACAGACATAAACTATGTAAATGCAACAGGCAATATGTAAACATATAATACAGACTAAGCAACATCCTTGTTTGATTTTGAAATCACCGTTTGGTTTCCCGGCAACAGCGCCAGAAATCTTGACTCATGTTTAATCTGAACAGTGGTATTACACCCAAGTATAAGTGGTCAAATTGCAATATAATACTCGATTTAAGTCTGAGGTCGATCCTACAGGAAACTGATATTGGAAATCAAAATGAAAACAGTGAAGCTGTTACGGTTACAAATTGAAGTAAAATAGTTGGTGGTGTACCTAGAACAACTAAAATAGACTTAAATAAAACTACAGTAATTAAAAGATACAAGATACGATAATTAAAAGATACTGGAAATGTAATAATTAAAAGATACCCTCCATATCGGGGATTCCATATGCAATATATTGGCTAAGTGTTGGAAATGCCACCTTACAGCAATTAACCTCCATTTCAGTAGAAAGTCAACTAGTAAGTTTGATGTATATTAAATCGTATCCAGCCACTGATTCGGTTAACTGGCAAGTATATCACTATGCACAATCAAATAACCAAAGTAGACTAGAAGGCAAGCCATTTAGGAGGAATACTTGAATTACTCGACTGACATATTCATCCCATGCAACAGTTAAAGGACTATAGTAAACCAGAAGGCAAGTCATTCAGAAGGAATCCTACAGTTATTCAACCGGCAGATTGATGATTCACTAATGACGAGATTTTGGTTTATGCATTGAATCAAAAGCATTGACTATGTCGAGACTTAACCCATCTATAACCAATCAATCGACTTTTACGTAATGCCTAATAACGTACATCACTGTATCATGTATAAAGTACATAACTACTAGATAGTATGGTACATAGAATAAGGTACCACTTAGTGTTCATAACCATGAGTATATTATAAATGTAACCATCCATCAGTATGGGAGATATATATAACAATAAAGCAAAGTTATAACATCGGCATTCCAATAACTCAAACAATATCTTACCTATGTTCACCCTTCACCGAAGGGTTAAAGTGTACTACTCATGCCTCATTGCTACAGACATGCAAGAAGTGCAAGATAGTTCCATTACAATACTAAATAAAACACAGACATTCCTTCCCCGAGGAATAGCTGAAACACGACCACACTTAATACCAATTAAGGCACAAAAGTGGCAGAGGTTCAACCCTCCAAGTAGAAAGGCATAATAGAAATGTAGAAAATAAGAAAACTTCGGCTGGAGATAAACTGGAAAGCTGGTTGGAAGTAGATCGGCAGGGCTTCACCACACTGTTTCGAACTTTCTCCCACTCACTAGACTATCTCTGTTGGTTTTTTGACTAACCCTGACTCTCCTAGCTTCTCTCCCTCTCGCTGGACTTTCTCTCCTCTAAAATCTCTTGGAAATAGAGCTGAAGGGCCCTATTTATAGAGGGCTTGAGTCGGTAGTTGCTTGGACTGGAAAATAAGAGCTTTTGTTGCACTATTCAACCAATGGGAAGGTAAGGCTTTGAGGTGGTTTAACGGCACCATCCAGACACCATCACCATCATCCGGACGCCCCTATTCCTCTACTTTTTGATGTGTGATGTATTGGTTGCTTTGATGCTTGAATTACACTTGAACCCCCCTTGCTTTGAAGCTTTGACAGTTACTTCCTCCTAGTTTTGCACTGTTTACACATAAAACCCCGAAAATAACATCATTTCATGAATTAACCCTAATTTACGTACTAACCCTAATTTGACTTAGACTGAATCTTTTAACTTGTTTAATTAACACAATTAATCGATTAACCTAACACAATTTCACACTAATTAGGGTTAATCAAAAACTTACAGGTAGAACGTTACAAAACCTACCGATAGGTTTTCACATGTTTTGGCTTTGTCTTGATTTCTTGCTATCCCAAGCCACCCGTTAAGCCTCCCCTCCTTCTTTATTGTCTTTAAGCACTTGATGGAAGGTTTAATACGCGCCATTACCTACTCTTTACCTACAATCACACAAAACTCCATTAATTGATAGATTAAATGCAATTTCCCCCATTTTCTCCACAAAAGCAAGTATAAAATGGGTGCAAAGAGACAAATGATGTGCAATATTCTATGCTCATCACACCCCCCAACTTGAGTTTTGGTAGTCCCTAGCAAACTTTATTTCCAAAACCTAAAGTGTAAAACTAAAACTAAAAACAATCCATTCATGCAAATCAAATCACCCAACAATCACAATGCAAAAATCTTACTGCAATTAAATAAATGAACATGGCACAATGGAAAAAATGTGGTTCTTTCATTCATTACTTCAAAGAGTTAAGTACAAGAAGTAGAGGCCAAAAGCAAACCGGCCTAATATCCTGGATAAACTCTTCTACTATTTCATCTACTCTACACCTATCTGTGTAACTTCAAAAACAAATAAAACAAAAGGTCACTCTGCTCATCATCCTCATCCCCAGTCCCCTCCTTATCACTCTCATACTCACTTCCCTCCACATCATCGGAGTCATCATTGTCGAAGCCCTCCACCTCAACAATAGTAGAAGCCACAGGGGCAGAGGTGGAGGGTCCAGTAATAGGAGGCAGAGGTCCACCAGGGATCGGCTCTCCCAGGAAAGTGTGCTCGAAAATCCTCATAACCATCAAGGAGAGTTGATGCATAGTCCCCTCCGAGACATCTAAGTCCCACTTTTTCTATATGATTAGCACAAAAATTCAAAAAAATTGTAGTGCCACATCTCCTCCTATATCTCTCATGTCTCCCAATCTTTCATTTCCCTCATCGCAGTGCCTATGCTACCTAGTCCAACCCCCCTTTGAATCAAAAGCCCTACCAATGGCTACAATAGCCATGATAGCGAAGTTAGTGACCATCAGGAACTACCACGCCAGTGACACCCCCAGGTAATTCTTTCTCCCTCAATATCTCCTCATCTCCTTGTTTCTCTATCTCACACTCTCCTCTATTCCTGCCCTATTCACAACCCCTTTCTCACTCTTCTTCCTTCTCCTAGATCCAAACCCCTCATAACCCTAATCTACCAACGATTGCCACAACACCTCACCGCCACCTTACACAAAATTGACACAAACACATATTTGCAACACATAAACTGCACACTCACACTCACACTCACACTCACACTCACAGAAAAATGTAAATATATCATTTTTTACATTAATTTTTGTTTGATTTTTAGTGAGAGGTTGAAACTTGAAATTGATTTCTATCTAGTTTAATTTGAGGTTTTTTGTTGTATATCTAGTGACTTTAGGTTTGCACACACAAAAAGACATGGAGAGTATAAGACTAAGAGACTCAGTGGCTATGTAATGAATTTTTTAATTTTCAATTTTTTTTTCCAAATTTTGGTTTCTTGATTCTGTTTGTTTTCGATTTTTGTTTTCCAAGTGTAAATTTTGATCAACGAGTAACCAAGTGAAGGGGTTGGATCATTATATCCAATTGCTTTAGTTTGATATAATTTTTAGCATAACACATGTTTGATGAAATAGCTCAATGACTATCTTTGATCCTTGCAAGTCTTCACAATTGTGTGATCTAGATCTAGGATTCTCGTTGATTGGTTCAACAAGCATGCTGGACCTATTCATGGTGTGTATGTTTGTCAAGTAAATATCACAAATCCTTCAATTATTTTCTTGCAATGTGTGTGTGTCTATGCTAATGGGCTTATACAATTTATTTTATTAGGTTCAGTTGGTTTTTTTTTTTTGAGGTATTTGTATATGTGGTGTTATTTTAGGGACTTTTTTGTAGATTTTTGTAATAATTCTATTAATATGTAGGATATAGTCAAAAATATATTTTGGGTTATTTTAAAAGAATTGGTATAAATGTTTTAGTGTGATTCTTTTTGAAGTTAGGAAATTACTTGCAATTTTTTTGTGTATTACATAGTGCCTTCAGGTACAAGCAATGACTAGTACATGTATATGAAGATTACAAATGATAACCATTGTAGATTGGATAGACTTCAATCCTAAAGCCAAAACTCTAATTCTAAAGCTAATAGATTAAATTAGTTACATTTGATGATACGCAAATTGGTTTTATGCACCACTTGTCAAGTAATTAATATAGGTGATAAATGTAATAAATAAAAGATGAGATCAATACAGGCAACACATAGATATAGAGAGGTTCGATCAGGGTGACCTATTCCACTTTGAAGACGGTGACAGTGGTCGGAGAACTTTATTGATAAAGTAGTAGGTGGGAGAGAGAGAGAGAGAGCAAAATTAAGCTCCATGAGAGGTTGGACAGCTATAAGAGAGATAGCCATGTGAAGGATGTGTAGAGAGATGCCCCTCTCATGTGGAGAGGGCATACACTTTATAAGCATAGAGCCTTAGTTGACGCGGTGGCGTGAATGGATAGGTGACTAGTCCTTCAGAGTAAATAGCAACAACTAAGGATATATACAACTAAAGATAGTCCTGATCTTTAAGAGTGGCTACCCCAGTAATTACTCCCCAAGTGCGTTAATCTTCATGGACTTTTTGAACTTTGGACTGGGCTGAACCTATGAGATAGGCTCGACTTGCTTTGTAGCTAATTTGGGCTTGTCCTATCAATTGGGCTTGACCTAATTAGAAATGGGCTCATCATTTGCCCCCCATGCCCCAAGCCCCAGTTGTGACTAAGGGGGTTAAGGGTATGAGTGAGCCTTTCATCTAAATAGACAAGGTTTCTTACTCTGCACGATGATACCTCTCAAGCTTCTTGCCCCGTTTGATTGGTCTAGGTATCCTGCTCCCCTGACTCATCCTTTTGTATTTATGAAGCTTCTTTTCCCCATTTGATTGACACTATGGTATTAGAATCTACCATCGAAACCCCCCTTTTATTTAAGGCATATTTTATTGGATAGTGCTCGTATACCTCTTCATCACTCCCTTTTTCTCACCCCCACACATTGCAAAGAGGCAAGCTTACAGAGAAGGCTAAGCATGGAGACGAGAGGGAGGTTACCAAAGGAGAGCGAGAACATGGTGTTGAAGCTAGGGTCCATCATCATCTCAGTAGGCAAAGCTTTGCCATGGATGATGCAGCAGACCCTCAAGGGAGTTCCAATAGCTCAGGCAACGCCTTAGATGAAGCGGGTGTCTGAGGCAGCAGCGGGAGTGCATGTGACATTGAGGACACGCTAGATGTCAAGGACATGCTAGGCGGTGCCAACGACATCCTTGGCATGAGGGGCGATGTCGAAGTAGGGGAACAAGCAAGTGGTTGCATGGNAGTGTCTGGGGCAGCAGCGGGAGTGCATGTGACATTGAGGACACGCTAGATGTCAAGGACATGCTAGGCGGTGCCAACGACATCCTTGGCATGAGGGGCGATGTCGAAGTAGGGGAACAAGCAAGTGGTTGCATGGGCAATGCCTTCATAAGAGCTGGTGTGGTCTTGCACTATGCAGAAGACTGCACGAGCCTGGGCTGGGTGACGTCTTATAGGTGCAAGTGCAAGCGCATGCTGGGCGACGCCTTGTAAGAGTAGGCACCAGGTTGGATGATGCCTTGTAGGCTCTAGGCGCTAGTTGGGCGACTGATGAGTACATAATATTGCATATTTAACGGCCTCATTACATGCATTTTAACTCAACTTTGCATTTAATTACTTAGAGTTAGCCAAAGTTGTAAATAATGTTGAAATTTTGATGTTGTAGGTAATTAAAGCTTAAATGATGGATTTTAGAACCTTGCAACTAAGTGTGGATGAGTGGTGAAGACATGGACACATTACATGAGGATTTGGAGGCTTAAAATTGAAAGAAATCAAGGAGGTATCAGTGCTTGGTAACATAGGCACCAGCACCGGCACCATTTGGTAGCAATACCTCAGTTTTCCTCCTTTTTGACCATTATCTAATTTGAATCTGAAAAAGTACAAAACATGAAAGTTGTAGATTTGGAAGTCCTCTATATTGTTTCAAACTTTCAACTCAATCAGATAGTTGAATCAAAAGTTATAACAATTCTACAAAAACTAGTCCAGAGTAGGCAACCTACCGGTAGTTTTTACTCTAGTAGCCAAAACCTACTGGTAGAATGCTAAAAACCTACTAGTAGGTTTTATCCAAAATGCCTGCAACTCATGTTCCAATTGTTTGGGGGTCCCACCATTGATTCTCCCATTTTTCCCCTGACATCCCTTACACATATACATGCCTCCTACACCCTAGTTAAAGACTTTGGCGGCAATGGCATTAATGATGATGGGAGAGAAGAGGGCAGCCATGATGGGTGCAAGCTAAGCTTTTCCTAGCCTATCCAATGCATCAAATCACCTCCCAATGATGGGAGGTCTTCTCTCACAGGCTAAGGGAGCCTCATGGATGAAAATGCATCACTCTTTCACCATATATTCAGCATGCCACAAGATTTTGAAAGGTGGCTACATAAGATTAGGAGTAGTTTTAGTGAGATAAGCTCCTAGGAAGAAGATGAATAGTGCTAGAGAGATAAAATTTATATTTTTGCATTTTCTTCACCCATTTCATTGCAGTAAGTTGTAGTTCTCTTGTAATCTTTTTGTCTTGCATTATAATCTCTTTTAATTCTAGTGTAATCAAGTTTAATGTTCTTGCACTTTTATCTTTCTGCTGAGTTTTCCTTTTAAGCTTTAGTTATGTTATGAAATGAATTCTTCTGTGTAGTCTACTTCCTTTTAGCATCAATACAAGTTTTAAATTCCATTTCAATAACATGTCTCTTTTCATATTGTATGTCTTTCCTTTTTGCATGAGTAGCTAAGCTTTTAAGTTAGGTAATCCAAGGGAGACCTCCTCTTGGGTATGTCATTTCAACTCATTTTCTTTCCTTCTCTCAGAGTACGATGGTTTGGTTTAAGTGGGTTGAGTGTGGACGTGGTTGTGAGTCTTTGATATCCCATAGATTTGTCATGGGTTATGCTTGGATCCTCATTTCCTTCTCGTCCCTCACTTCCCATGAATCAATCGAGCATCTAGGCTCTATTGGAGGAAGGTTTCGAGTTGACTTGGCATTCCCATTAGAGTGAACCCTTTGGATTAGCCAACAATTATTTTCCATTTCAAATACCATCTAAACTCAAACACCAACTCAAAACTCAAGATTTTACACTTTCCTTTTTCAACAAAAATCACCTTCACACAATTCCCTTCCTTCCCTGAGGAGACGACCTTGGAATACTCANGATTTTACACTTTCCTTTTTCAACAAAAATCACCTTCACACAATTCCCTTCCTTCCCTAAGGAGACGACCTTGGAATACTCATTCCAAGTAAAACACAACATTGCAAGATTCTCTCGATGCTTGGAGAGCAATTTTGCACACACACACATTTTGTGCTCTCTATTCCACCAATATTACATTCCCTATTTCTTGCATTGAACCCGAGTGAGAGTAACACTCACCCATTAACATAAGCCATATACACATTGAGGGTTCATGCTGGGACATTAGGGAATACAATGAAAACAATCAAGCAGCAACGCCTTGTAGGTGTTGGGCGCTGGCTGGTGCTAGTGCTGGCTGTGGATTCCAATGATGTGGGCAACGCCTTGGAGCATGAGGCGACACCAAGGCCAATTGGGTGGCGCCCTAAGGCAGGTTGAGGCAAAGGGATGCCAAGGAAGATAGGGCATAGTAAGGAGAAAGGAGCGTGCACTGGGGTGCCGGCCAGAGCATCAAAAAACTATGAAAAAATGGTAAAATTTTGAAGGGCCATAACTTTGCACTTAGTTGTCCGTTTGAGGTGAATTTTTTTTTGAATCTGGGTNTATCAAAGATAGGCTCATTGTGTAGTGTAGTTTCTCTTATATCTTCCTCTACTTAGAGCGATGAGAATCACTCACTTTTCTAGCTTTCTCAAATCCATGAAGAGTGAGTATTTTCTCATACACTCTTTAGTAAGAGGTGATGGACATGTATAAATCATTTGGAAGTTATTTTTATGCATTTCATTTATGCTTAAGCTTTATATGTTGATTACTTATTGAATGATTGAATGCATCTAGCAAAGTTAGGTACTTTGTACAACCATGAGTCCTTTCTAAGACAAAGATGACCCTTGGCATAGGAGGATTCATTGGTTCTTTGCAAGTAGGGGTGTCAATCATGTCGTGTCGTACCAGTTTAATGTCGTGTCACTTTTGATCGTGTTATTTTTGTGTCGTATCACTTTCAGTACATGTCGAGTTCGTGTCAATATTCATGTTAATAAAAAATTATTTAATTTGACAACAACTAATATAATACTATTTAAAAATTATAAAATTCTTATTTTTTATCTACAATACTCATTAAATAATTTTTTTTTCTATCTATTGTACCCATTAATCGTGTTATTCATGTCGAACCTTAATTTGACCTATTTATTACTCTTATCAACTAATCATATTATTTTCGGGTTCATGTTCTAGTCAAAAATTGACACCCCTATTTGCAAGTACTCCAGCTAGANTAGATGTGGTTTGGGCACCAAATTTCTCCAAAAAATACTTCTCTGTCCTAGAATTTAAACTTTAACCACAAATTACTAAAAAAAGGTAGATTTTGTACGTGTCTACTTTTTGTATTCTCAACTACATGAGGACTCAGCTCACCTTGCTTTGATGACATCCTTAGCATGAGGATCAACTAGTTCTAGTTAACCAATTGTGGCATGTTCTCCAACAGCTGTTGGGATTCAAGGACGGGGTTTGTCGATGCTGGCGGAACCTCGTTGTGGTGTGGCGGGTCGTCCTGATTAGTAGTTAAAATTAACATCTTACTATATTTTTATAAGACTAATGATGCGTTGATAGAGTTTCAATGATGACATTTCAGGAAAAAGATTTTACAAGGGCCTAAAGTCAATAAATATCAAACTTTCATGCAACACCCGCATGTTCTGGAAGAAAATTGGAGAAATCTGAAGCAAGGCATTAATTTTCGAACGTCAATTCACGTTTGAGCACCCATCTTGAATTATTTGAGGACCATTGGAAGAGTGTTGGGGTAATAGCATATGGTGTGTTGCAGTTATTTTCAAAAAGAAAAAGAGTTACTTGAGTACAACGTTCAAACACCAATCCACATTCGCGTGCCATCTTGAATTATTTAAGGACTAGACTGCTAGGGCGATAAGACATGGCTTGCTATCTACTGTGGGTGACAAAAGCCACTTAAGTTCCACTTTCAAACTCCATTCAGTGTTCAAACGCCCATCACAGAATATAGGAGTCAACGTTCGAACGTCATTCAACATTTGAACGTATTCCCCAGACAGAATGCAGAGTAGTTGAGTTTCCATTCGGATCTTGGTGCATTCACTTGGACTTTGAACTATTCTTTTACTCTTCCCTACCCCCTCCTCCTTGCCTATAAATACCTCCTCTTTGAAGAGACTAAGGGGCATTGAGATATATGCAAATAGATAGATAGAAGAAGATAGATCATCTTTCGGTTGAGGAAACCCTCCAAAAGTAACTGGCTTTCTTCTACTTGCATTATTAGTTTCATTAACTTCCATTATTAGAGCTTCTCTATTCCCTTAGAGGAGTTAAACCCTTCCACTTTTCTAGCTTTACCAAAGCCATGAACGATGGAAAGTGATTCACTCATTCTTTATCAAAGATAGGCTCATTGTGTAGTGTAGTTTCTCTTATATCTTCCTCTACTTAGAGCGATGAGAATCACTCACTTTTCTAGCTTTCTCAAATCCATGAAGAGTGAGTATTTTCTCATACACTCTTTAGTAAGAGGTGATGGACATGTATAAATCATTTGGAAGTTATTTTTATGCATTTCATTTATGCTTAAGCTTTATATGTTGATTACTTATTGAATGATTGAATGCATCTAGCAAAGTTAGGTACTTTGTACAACCATGAGTCCTTTCTAAGACAAAGATGACCCTTGGCATAGGAGGATTCATTGGTTCTTTGCAAGTAGGGGTGTCAATCATGTCGTGTCGTACCAGTTTAATGTCGTGTCACTTTTGATCGTGTTATTTTTGTGTCGTATCACTTTCAGTACATGTCGAGTTCGTGTCAATATTCATGTTAATAAAAAATTATTTAATTTGACAACAACTAATATAATACTATTTAAAAATTATAAAATTCTTATTTTTTATCTACAATACTCATTAAATAATTTTTTTTTCTATCTATTGTACCCATTAATCGTGTTATTCATGTCGAACCTTAATTTGACCTATTTATTACTCTTATCAACTAATCATATTATTTTCGGGTTCATGTTCTAGTCAAAAATTGACACCCCTATTTGCAAGTACTCCAGCTAGATCTTCATGACTACATTTCAATCTTCACTATTATTGTGCTTCAACTAAGATTGGAATACTAACACAATGATTGGATGACTTGTAGAATTACCTACTTGTTTGTAGGCGGGTTGAGTCTCGGCACAGACAATTCTTGTAAATCTCTACAAAGACATTGGAATCATGCTCTTAATTCTCACAATCTATCTTTATCCTCCAATTAACTTGCTATTGACACAGGGTTTAATTGAGTTCTCAAGCACATATATAACAACCGGATGATTGACTAGATGTTCAGATCCTTGAGCTAAAGGATGACTTTTACATTTGACAGAATATTATATTTTATCTAGAAAAACCCTTTGGAGAGAATCTTATATTCTGTCTAGGAAATTCCATAACCATCATAACTTCAAATCTCAAGGGTTCCAGTCACTTTGGTCTCTGTCACTACTTACTTCGAAACACCAACATTAGTTTCCTGTGGATTCAACTCCGGACATAATCGGATTAATACTACAACTTGACCGTATGCACTTTGGTGTATACATTTCAGATGAAGTTACATCCCAGAGCCTCTCCTAGGTAAAAATAGGAAATGTATTTGATCCTTCCAATACGCTTTGATAATTTTAATAGTATAGATTCTTTTTCTTATCCCGGTTTCATAGGTACCATCATTGATAAAGCGTTGGTGAAGGCTCTTTATGCTTCTAGGGCGGCATCTTCCCTCCATCTAAGAGGGCAAGGATCTGATGGTGCCCCTATTCCTTCTCAAACTATGACTCCTGTGTGAACCAAAGCTAGCCCTAGTACCGCTGTAGGAGTTAAGACTCCAATGCGGTCTTCTACGGGGACTGTAGCTCCACATAGCTGCCCTATTTCTAGTAGTGGTTCGGTATCCATGCTTCTGGAATTATGGGGGTTTATGACTCTTGTAGATATCAGAGAGGTTAAATCTCGAAATCCAGAGGGCATTATCAATACCGCAATGGAGAGATTTGCCATTCTATGCCTTTTTTCTACNCGACTCCTGTGTGAACCAAAGCTAGCCCTAGTACCGCTGTAGGAGTTAAGACTCCAATGCGGTCTTCTACAGGGACTGTAGCTCCACATAGCTGCCCTATTTCTAGTAGTGGTTCGGTATCCATGCTTCTGGACTTATGGGGGTTTATGACTCTTGGAGATATCAGAGAGGTTAAATCTCGAAATCTAGAGGGCATTATCAATACCGCAATGGAGAGATTTGCCATTCTATGCCTTTTTTCTACTCAACCTTGATTTTGTACCTGTCTCATTTCCTTTATGCTCTGATTTTTGAATGCTTGTAGGTGGCTACTAGTTTCTTCTACCTCTTTTTAAGGATGATCAAGCCTGTAGAGGCATTAGGGATTTGGAAAAAGAGAGGGAGGCACGAGAGGCTGTTGAGACTAGCCCGTGAGAGTGACACGCCTCTTGAGGTTGAGCTTTCAGCATCATTCGAGAGGGTTACAAAGCTAGAGGCTGATAAGGAGATTTCCTACAAGAGAGTAGAGTCAAAGCTACAAGCATCCCACGAGAGGGCCGCAGTATCTAAGGCCAAACTATGTATAGTTCGCGAGAGGGTTATCGTGGCTAAGGCTAATAAGGAAACTGTCTACAAAAGAGTAGAGTTAGAGTTGTGAGTGTCCCATAAGAGGGTCGTAGTAGCTGAGGATGAGCTACGTATAGCTTGGGNAAACTATGTATAGTTCGCGAGAGGGTTGTCGTGGCTAAGGCTAATAAGGAAACTGTCTACAAAAGAGTAGAGTTAGAGCTGTGAGTGTCCCATAAGAGGGTCGTAGTAGCTGAGGATGAGCTACGTATAGCTTGGGAGAAAGCTATCATGGTAGAGGCTGATAAGGAGACGGTCTGCACAAGAGCAGAGTCAGAGTTGCGAGCATCCCATAAGAGGGTCGTAGAAGCTGAGTGATTCACTTTCGATCTGAGCAGTGATATTACACTCAAGTATAAGTGGTCAAATTGTGATATATTACGCGGTTTAAGTCTAAGATCAATCCCACAGGGAATTGATATTGGAAATCAAAGTGAAAATGGTGAAGCTATTTCGGTTACAAATTGAAATAAAAGAGCTTGGGTGCGAGCTTAGAATAATGAAAATAAACTAAAGTAAAACTACAGTAATTAAAAGTTAAACTTGCAATAAGTAAAAGATACTAGAAATGCAATAATTAAGGGATACACTTTAGTTCAAGGATTTCATATGGATTATATTGGCTAAGTATTAAAAATGCCACCTTATAGCAATTAACCCCCGTTTCACCGGGAAGTCAACCGATCCAGCCACTGATTAGGTTAACTGGCAAGTATATCACTATGCACAACCAAATAACCCAAGTAGACCAGAAGGCAAGCCATTCAGGAGGAATACTTGAATTACTCGACTA